GACTGGAGAAAAAAGACAAATTGATCTGTTAAATTTTGTCTTGCTTGTTGTATTAATTTAGCTATTTTTTATACTTGCATCTAATTCTTGCACATGCTTAAGGCTTATCAGTCTCTGCGGGTTTATCATCCCTTAATTTTGTTACTCGGTGCTTCTCTAAATTCTAAAAATTTTGTCTTCCCTAAATTCTGCCGCCCAGTGCGGCCATACAAGCTCTGGCGCAGGTACTGGGTTTATGTGAATAAAAAAATCAGTTATTTTTAATTCAATTTGCACTAAATGTAGTCGTTTGGGCTATAAGTATCATTAAAAAATCTATTATTAGCATATGGAAAGAAATTATCATTTTTCCATATCTTTTTGTTAACAGCAAGCACTTCTGTGCTAAGCTATGGTCAGAGGATTGTGACTGGTAAAAAAAAAATAGAAAAAACTGAAGTCAGTTTCCTACCCATAGCTGAATCTCCTAACAAATAAAAACAATGAAATTTTCGGTGTATGTGTGTTAGGAGTGCTCTTAGGAAACAGCGGGCGTGTGCTAGCAATCCTGTATCCTCCGTAATAAGAGGAGGCAAGGAGTACACATAGTATAAAAACTCATGTTGGGGAAAAAAAAATGTATTCATTGATTGAAAATCTGGTATTGAATCCAGATTTTCAATTCTAAAGAAAAATGTAGTGTTAGAGTATTTCTCTCATCTCCTGGGCTATGGGGGATGTATACAACAAATTTAGAGTTGAAAAACTCTGGGAAGAAGGAAAGGAACTCTGGGAAAGGTCAAACTCAGGAAAAATGAATTATCATAATTAGGTTTTAAGGTCTTTATCGGGTTTTAAAATGTCATAATCCGGAAAATTTTTGATGCCGAATTTGGAAAACTAAAATAAATTAATTTTGCACAGAAAAAGGGATTCTGCTATTTCTAACCGTTAATTTAAATTCACCAGCTGGATTAAAAGTTCTGAGTCCGGTTGAGAGAAGAAAGTTTATGGGTATTAGGATATTGAAATTCTTCATATCTTCATATCTAAATCACCTATTTTAAAATTACTGGATTTATAATGGGTGTCATATCTTTATTTACATTATTATAATCATCATACCTTTTGCGGGCAATTTTTCTAGCTTCTTCAGTTGGTGGTTATGTTTCTTGATTTTCAAGTTGAGGATCACAACGTAATTTTTCATACATTAAATAAGATGGTAGGAATTTTGTTACAGAATGTGGTGTATTATTATATTCTTCAGTAACCTGTGAATTTTTCAACTTCTGTCTGTGAATTATTCCTTTTTACAAAAGAATTGACTTTTATACGTTCACTCAATAAGGAAGATCATAAATTTTACCAACACATCTTTCGATATATTGATGATGTAATAGCCTTCAACAACTTCAACAAGATTGAAAATGCTAATATCTACCCTTCATGCCTAAAACTTAATACTGCAAATACCGTGCAACATGATATAGTCTACTTTGATTTGCATATTATAGATTACAAATTTTTGAAAGTCTATGACAAACGAAGAGAATTCAACTTTTCAACCCTTAAATTAACCGACTGGAATTCCAATATTTCTAAAAGAGTCATCCTCAACACAATTTACTCACAGCTGCTTAGAATTAAAAGAATTTGCAATACAACAAAATACCTTCAAGAAGTACTATACTTCAAGTACTATACTTCGTCACAATATTGAAAAATAACCTTATTCCTCAAAAAATAATTAAAAATACCTTAAAAAAAGCTGGCATTAACCTTACCAATTTTTAGATTTTTTGAGTTAGATAATGACATTTTATGCTTAAAGCCATATGGAAGGTATAATGTGGACGCCTGATTCTGAAGATCTAACGTATAAATGTACAAATAATTCCTGTCACAACGTCTATATTTCCTCTTAAAATTTGGCTCAATATTTTTAATTCTATTTTTAAATAGTTTTTAAAAAACTGCTGGCCAATTCTATTCTGTTATTAACTTAGGGGCTATTTTCGTTTCTGGCAGCTTGAACGCCCTCTAGCTTGAAGAATTAAGACTTTAATTAACATATTACTATTTTTTCATTATTTCTGCTTACTTTAGAGGCCATTTTAGGTAATATTTTGTTGAATTAGGCATTTTCTCTTTTACCCAGTCCAATTTTCTTCAAACTGCTATTACAAGACCCCATTTTGAACTTTTCCCGCATTTTTCAACACATTTACCGGCCCCCCCCTTTGCAATGAGTCAGATTTGCTGCCGACAGTCAGTCACTTTACATTGGCTATTACCCAGTGACATTGTTTACCCCCTATACGTCATCCAAGCCAGTTGGAGGGCAATGGAAAGGCTCGGGGGTTTGCCCACCCTTTTCGAGTTTCCTCGTTACCAAGGAAGACGGCTCTGATCCAGGTATGTTTCTAATAATTTTTTTCTCTAAAAGATTTTTTCTAGGTCTTGGCAAGACCCATGCTTCAGTTCGTCTTTTATATTATCTTTTCTGTTTTGATTTAAATATAATTTACGGTACTTTTAATTCTTTAAGCTCGCAGGTCCACCCATAAGATCTTGTATATTTTGACTAATAGCATATTGCTATTTATTTTTTCTGCATATCGGAATTGCCTTTTCATTATTTATTATTTATCTTTTTTACACCTTAATGTGTCAAAGTAAGCGGAAGAGTCGGGAAATTGGAACAGAGAATTGAGACTAAAGTTTTTGACGTAGTTTATTTAATTCATTGAAAATAGTCGCGCACAGTTTCAATTGTCTGTTTCGGCGAAACGCGTAATGGAGTTAGCTTAGTTCGAAATTCATTAAAAAAAATTTCCCTGACGAGCCAAAATGAACTTCGAATTGGGCTAATTAACCATTTAACGCTTCTTAATATTTATTTTATTTCTATTTTTACCTCGATTAATTGATTAGTATTTTACTGTGTTTTAAACTAATTAATTCGTTTAGCCTATAGCTTACTATTTTTGTTAATTTTCAATTGTTAATTTTGTTAATTCAAATGTTGTATATTTCTCTTTTTTCACGCATTTCATAGCAACTACATTTGCTTATGTTGAAGTTTTCGCGGAGCCACAGTTTTTGGTAACTTTTTAGCGTGCGTACTAAAATTTATCTTCTAATTTCCTTAATTTTGCAGCACAATGCGCAAATTTTTGAACACATAGGTATTTTTTCGTTTGTTCTTACTACTTAACTTTAAATTACTTACTACTTAACTTAACTGTCTTGAACAATTTGTATATGTGTATTTGTAGTTACACTTTTAGAAGCAAAAGTCCATACATAACAAGTAGCATAATCAGTAATAATTTGAATATATTTCTTAGTAGAATTATGATAATTTAAACCACCAATAGTATCAATAGACAATAATTCAAAAGGTTCACTAATAACAGGTAAGGCTTGCATTAAATCAAATTTCTTTTTCTTATTAAGCTGACATACTGTGCAGAATAATTTCTAATATCTTTAACAATTCCTGACCAATAATATTGAGGAGACAATAAATTTAGAATTGAGGACACGCCAATAAATTAAGATGAGCTTATTCAAGTAGTACGAAGAGATATTGGTATTGTATAATCCTTGTTTTTTAATAGTTAACACATCATTAATTTTCTTATACTTAGGATTATATACATTATCTAAATTTTAATGTTGTTTATTTTTTTAATGAAAATAAATTAACTTGCAAACCTAAATGTTGACAAGTAGGATTTCTAGTTAACATATCAGCTGCAACGTTAGTAGAACCTTTTTCATATTTTACATCAAACTCATACATCGATAATTTAAAAGATCCTTTAAATAACTTACCTGTAGGATGTTTAACTAAAGCAGCATGATCAGTATGTACAGTAAAATGATTACCATGTAAATAATAGTAAAATTTATCTATAGCATCAATAATGGCTAAACATTCTAATTTAGTAATAGCATAATTCTGCTCGTAAGACCTTTGTTTTATAGAATGAAAAACAATTGGATGAAGATTACCATCCGGGTGTTCTTGTTTTAAAACTGCACCTGACAGCTTCTTTAGATGCATCTAAAAGTACATTACAAGGATATTTTGGATTAAACAAAGTTAGAAAGGGTCTTGAAATTAATGCATCTTTTTAATTTTGAAAAGCTAATTGACATTATGTTGTCCATTTATAAGGAATGTCTTTTTTAGGTAAATTTGTTCAAGGGGCTCTAATTTTTGCATGATTTTGAATAAATTTATGGTATACATTTATACTTCCTAAAATCTTTGTAGTTCTTTAACATTTTTAGGGGGTTGTAATTTCTAAACAACTTCAATATTTGCATTACTAGGTTGATATTTTCCTGTTTGAACTTCATATCCTAGAAATTTTATCTTTTCTTTAGCAAAGTTACACTTAGATTGTTTTAATTTTATATTCTCTTTTGCACTTATGTCAAATATTATCTTAAGATGTTTGAGATATTCATCAAAATTTGGGGGAAATACTATAATATCATCAAAATAATTTAAGGCAAACTGAAATCTGATATTTGTTAAAAAGTTTTCTAAGGACTGTTTGGAAAACAGCTGGGGAATTTTTCCAACTAAAAGGTAATCTGTTGAACTGTTTAGAGCATGGGTGTCTAAAGTGCTGCCCAAAAGCCTTTAAAATGCGGCCCAAGTGCAAATTATGAAATTATTTAAATTTACACATTTTTATTAAAAAATAACTGTTTGAATTTTATTCGTATATAATTGATTCGTTGACATTTAGGAAGCATTTCCGCAAAGGTTCCGTTAAATGCAAACATTGCCAAAAATGGCGATAACAGTTCAAAGCTGGTAACCGGGCGAATTGGTTTGTCGGAAGTAGCCAACCTGGTTCGAATGTTTCTCGTTTGTTCGGGGCTCCGTTTTGCCGCTGGCTAGCAGCGCGCAAGGAGGTTATTCTTTGGTTAGAATAGATGGAGTAAGCATGCCGTCACAAAATTGAAGCCGAGGAAGGATCGACAGCGTGACGTCACGACTGATGAGCCAGCATGGCTGCCGTGTAGCGTACGGATAAGACGAAAGCTTTGTTTATAATTGTATTAAAACTGCTCAGCCAGATAAAATTGGTGAATGTAGTGAAGGATGTCAATCATTCCCGCTGCTACGCAGCTAATTTCATAAGTAAATGCCATAAACAGGTATTTTAGTATTTCTATTATTCTGACTTTATTGCTACTCGCTATTAGTTCAGCATTGCTTTGTTGATCGTTTCGACCTGATTTTGAGAAATATGGATAGATGTGCTGCACCAAATTGTCAAATCATTCTAGAAATAACTTTAGGATGTGTTTTGTTTAGCAAAAAATGAAAAAAGACGAAGAAGAAGTAATTCTTTCTGTTCGAGATCAACGGATTTCGGTCGCAGGAGCGTGTTTTTGTGAAGTAAGTGCAGCTTCGTATTTTTTCATAGCATATGAGAAAAATTCCCTTATTATTTTTTTTCAAAATGTGTACTTTCATTTAGCTGTCACTTATTAACGCTGAAATGATATTACAAATATAAAATCAATTGTGGAATGTGTGTGCATTTGTGCAGCAAAATATCGCCAATACTGTTTTTTACTGTTGCTAATAGTTTATACTGTTTGTAAAATTGTATTCTATATTTCATGTAAACTTTGTCTCGGTTGGGATTGTAATAGGCGTTTTTTTATTTAAATTTTACTGTACGAATAGTGTATTAAAGGTCTATGCTGTATTTTGATTCTGATGTATTGTCGCCAAATATATCAGTTGGCGCCAGTCTTAAAAATTGGTAAGTATAACATAAATTATAAATTGTTTAGGTTTATTCTGTATAGTGAGGTAAATATATTCTGTGTCCTTCAGGAAGCTTCATAAACTTAATTATTTATTCTTAATTTTGTCCTATTTTCATATAAAAGTTAAAATTTTTCACAAAATTTCATTCTTAATAGTGTGATTAAATTCATTTAGTACATGCAACTGTAATTAAATACTAGTGTTTTTGATTTTAATGTTAAACTTCATACATGCTTTTGTTAAATTTGAAGGTGCATTTTGAAGAAAACCAGTTTGAATGTTCTAGGAAAGATGGGTTTAAAAAACTAAAGCCTTGTTTAATGTGCCTAATCCAACACAACTGTTGACCCCACAGCATGTAAAAGGCATTGGGTTTACCAAACTACCATTCAATGATATCCAGTTTTTAAAATGTATGTTTTTTTAAGTTTTATAGTTTTCATAAAAAATGTTTCATATTAAAAATGGACTAATTTGTTTTATAAATAAATCAAAATATTGAAATTCAGGCATTATATGATTAAGCTTTAATTTCAGTGCTTAAGAATAGATTAAAAATTGAAATTTTTAATAGATAATAATTCATAATACTGTTTAAATTTTGCTGTTATATATATATAATTAAATGTGTATTTTATTATAATAATCATATTTAAAATGAGGCATAAAAGCAACCTCAATTTGATATAGTTTTTGATTAAAATTACTGATTTCGAGGCCTATCAGACACAGGTCTCATTTCTTCAGATTTGCCCCTAAAAAAGAGAAACCTGTATTTGATTGCCTTCAAAGTCTACAGAGGTTTGTTCAAAATCAGGATTAAACTAAAATAACTTTTTTGCTTAATTTTAAATTTTACATATATATAGGAATATGCATTAAGTAAGCAAAAGAACAGTATTATTGAAAGTAATAATTTTGAGTAATATAATAATATGGTAATGTATGTTTTAATGTCCTATATGTCTCTTCTAAGTCCTACCTTTCAGAAGTGGGGCTTCATTGTTTAAATAATGTAAAGTCCTTCACCTATTATAAATTTCAGATTTTACATAGAAATATCATACAAAGTAAATTTGCAGTACTCAATTACATTATTGTTTCCATCATTATTGGATTAATTTGAAGTTAGTCATTAAGGTTAAGTATTTATAAAATGTTTGTATTTTGTTCACAAAAACTTCCATCATGTAGCAGTTACTTTTATGTTATGGAAGATATCAAGCTCTGCTAAATCAAATTTACTTTTGTGTGACCTTAAATCTTAAGCACCAATCGTAAATTTGTTTTGGCATATTTTTAAGAATTTGAATGAAAAATTTATTGCTACTGTGAAAGAATGATCAACTGATGTTTACCTTACTAATCAATGTCTTACAGTGTTGTAATGATTCGCAGGATTTTTCATAATGTGATGTTGCATATATGTTTTGATCTTATCAAATAAATATAAAGAATGTATTCCTAATCAGATATTTCTTCTTACGTAAGATTATTATCTATCATGATGTGATGCTTAGGATTTGTTTTTAGAAGCCAAAACACTATTTTTTGAGATGCTAATAAAAGCAATGTATTTTATTTATTTACTTACTGCTTTAAAACAGGTTTTGAATTAAGGCTTTCCCCTTCCTTACAGTATGCACATAAAACTCACTTAAGCTATATTTTTAACATATTAATGAGATATATGTAAATAAAATATGTCTCTTAGGGTAGCTCCTTTAATAGGGGGGGGAAACTGAACTAAAATGGTATACCTTAAAAACATTTTATTGAAAACAAAAATACTATCATAACAGTGTCGGATAAGATTTATTCAGATGGTTTTTTTTGCATTTATTCTGGCATTTCCCCATAAATTCATATAAATAAAATTTCAGGTTAAAGTAGGTCTAGCATTATATCATTCTATACAAAGCTGTTGACTTTATGTATATTCTATATAAAGGTGTTGACTTTAATGGAAAAAATCCAGTTACTGTGTTTTAATAAAATTTGATTATAATGGAATGACTTGCACTGTGTTAGAAAAAAAGAGTGAAAAATAACAATTTTTGTTTTATTTTCACTATAAGTACAAGTATTTTGCATATGTTTGTTATCAAAAGATGTAGATTTAAAGCTAAATAATACTTTTGTTTTTACTTATGCAAATTAATTAATAAGGATATTAACTAATTATAGAATTATTGGTACTCTTCTGTTATCGGGACCGGATTCAGAAATCTCTATATGGATGTATATTGAATGTATGTATATATATGAACCATGCATATGTATGTGTGTATACATACATTTTTGATTTCCATCCCGATAACAGAAGAGTACTGAATTATCATTAAATATTCAGATATGTGTAATAATATATTAACAACATTGTTTCACGAGAAAATAGTAAAATTAAATTAATTTTAATAATTTTCTTGTGCCATTGCTTCAAGGAATGAAAAATTTGAATTTAACAAATATTCACTATTTCTATAAAGCAAATATAAAATTCTCTACTCATATAAAGCAAATATAAAATTTAAATTTTAAATTTTATGTATGTTTTTTCCCTTGTTTAATTCATAAATTTACCAGTTTTTCTATGTACTGTATAAAGTATTTTCTCAATAGCAAATGTATCGGTAAATAGTGTCTAAATTTTGTGTGGAAAGGTATTCTTTTTATTTTTATTTATTTATTTATGTGTGTATTTATTAATTTTTAAAATTTTCTTTTTAGCTAAATAAAGAACAAAAATAGTATTTTTGATATGGAATTTTTACATTGCTAAATTTATATAAAAATATATTTTTAAAATATAGATTCCCACAGCCATTAGAGCATTGAAATAGTTTTTTTATAGCATTCTGCTAAAACATCAAAATTTAAAGGTGTATATCTCAAATCAGTATTTAAAATCATAAAGCTTTTAGCTACCTTTTTCTGGATATGCACACAAAATAACATTTTTAACCAAATTGTTGCAATAATAGACATTCGATTCCATGTGAGCAAACTTCAAACTGCATATTAAAAATGATAAACAAGAACGTAGATTAAAAATGAAAAACAAGAATTATTATGCAGACAAGCTATTAAATTTTTCAGAAGTTTAAAATGCGAACTTGCTAGATATATTAAAGCATCAGCATGTATTTATCCACTTATCATATAAAATTTGCTTACAATTTTAGAAAAGTAACTTTTGATTCAGAAAAGCTTTAGAAACTTAAAAATTACTGAAGTTTTCTTCATACAAATTTGTAGCCACAGCTTTAATGTTCTCTAAATAATTTAACATGTAATGTAAATAAAAGTAATATGCTTAACTCCATCAGTACTGAAATGGTATAGTTAAGATATTAAGAATTATCATACAAGTACTGTATTGAAAGGCTTATAATTTTTATATAATACATGAAACTACCTTGAATTATAAAAGAAAAGTAGTTACATAAATATGAAAACGTGATTTCAAACCCATTATAACCTCATGGAAATTAAGAATACAGCTGCGGGAAATCTCTTGTCAAAAAGTACATTTTGAGTTGTCTAACATTATGCATGTATGTATGTATGTAAAAGTATAAACTGAAAATTCAGAAGTAAGTTGACAAAAAAAGTTTTTGTAACTTATATATGAATTTGAAGTATATGTGAAAATGTTTTAAAAACGCATCATGAATCATATGAGAAATTCGTCATTTTAAAAAACTACGAGAGAGAAGTCACACATCTCTATATGAGTGCGAAAAATCGGAACTTAAGATTCTCTAAAAGGTCCTCTAAAATGTTAAAAAATTAAAGTTTTAACTAATACGGCTAAAGAGCCAAAGATTGGCCCCCAACCGAAATTGCAACCCTAAAGGGTCGCAAAAACATGGCTGACGACTCACACATATCAGTCGTGACGTCACGCATCGTGACGTATCATGGCTTCATTTTCATTGCATGGGAACATACGGGGAAGGCTTACTCCATCTATTCTAACCTCCTTGCGCGCCCCGGGGAGATAACATGGCCTGGTTAGTGACGTCACGAAAGGCGTCCGATCCTTCGTGACTTTCTTTGAGATTTGAATGCGAGCGTTTCGTTCGATGTTTAGAGTGTTTTGTTTTTAATAATGAATAATAATTAAATTTTCAGACTTGAAAACGTATATGAAAGGTCGTATATTCATTTGCAGTTAAGATTAATAACTTAATAAATATTGTTTTTTAAGAAATATTCACGAAATTTTCTATGCCATGTTTTAGGTTATTTTGTGCATTTTTTTTACACTGTATTGTAATAATTTGTTAGGATACACTCAAAAAAGAAAGTTTTGAAATAAGTAAATAAAAAGGACTGTTATTTATTAACATAAAAATGTCTTTACAGTTTGAGAAGGAGAGGAATGAAAGGAATGAAAAGATTTAGAAATATAAATAATTCACTAACAAAAGTAAATATAATTTAGCAAATTAAAAGACATAAAAAATTATTTTTCCTTAAAACTATAAATATTTCAGAGCTTCCAAACATTATGCAAATGTATTTTTAATTCATTTAAAATACTGTCTAATAAAATGAACAGCAGATCAAAAAAAGCCACAGAAAAAATTTAAATCTCAAAACTTTGTAAATTAAATAAATTACAATTTTGCTGCAACATTACAGATAACGAATAATTTTCACATATTTATATGTTATCTATAGCAATAATTATAATAATATTTACATTGTTACTTATATGTAGATGCATAGTAAATAATATATTTACAAATAAAAGCCATCCATATAATGTTTCACAAAAGCGTAAAATCAATAAATTTGCCAACGAAAACCTCAAAACAACTATACATAGAACAAACCATCATTTCTGTCTAATTAGCAAATACCGTGCAAGTTGTACTAGTATACTGAAGCAATAATTAATCGCAATTGATAATTTATTTTGAAAAAATTCATGGAAGTATTATTCAAATAATAAGGAAACAGCAAAAAGATTAATACATTTAAATGTAAAAGATACATTATTGAAAATATATTTGAACTGCATCATATTTAGTACACTATTTTTAAAAATATAAATACAAATGAAGTCAACATTTACATACCACTCATATCTTTTCATCACGTATTCTTGACTTTTTCATATTTTGATTTCCTTTCATCGGTTTCTTGACTTTGTATGCATATTATTTTGAAGAACTTTAGTATAATTGTTTAAACAAATATTTGAAATAAGTGCTCATTATTTTTTTTAAATCTGCTAGAAAAGGGAATTCCACACATTAAACAAGTTTCATGAACATCAAACATGTTAATGTTTTGTACATATATCTCGGTAAGTTTGACCAGTAAAGAATGTTGTTTCTGTTTAGAATTTAGAAATAAAATCAGGAGATATCAGATAATCAGGAAAATAATCAGGAGATAAAAGTTTCTGAAATATTAAGAAACACACTGTCACAACAAATACAATATTTGAAGCTGGAAGTTTTAAACCACCTCGGTTAATAAGGCTTAAATAGTTTCTGTACATCACTTCATTGCTATCTGCGTGCATTTCATGATTTTCATTATCGCAAATCACACTCTTATCAGTAAAAAATAACGACTTGCACGAAAAACAGCCAATTTTCAGTTTAAAACACGCAGTAGCCAGGACACATATGTTAGGACTTCAGCTTCAGCATTATTCACTGAATTCAATATCAATATCATTTAAGTATATCTATAAATGGAGAACAGTTCAATTTCTTCAAGAGGTTTGTACTGCACAGACATCAGATATCAACATTTTTAACTGAATTTTTCCATATCTGTTGGAAAGTAAATGAAGAATCGATTTTATTTGCAATTTTCTCTCGAATTGAAGAATTTCTTGTACAGATACTGTAATATTTAATAATTTGTAAATGGTAACATTTAATATTTAGTAACTTGTAATTGGCAACACTTTGGATAGAGATTGAAAAATAGAACTATGCTGGTATTGCAGTTCTCTGTGATTATACATTCTAAGATTGTAAATAAATAGTTTCTAAAAATTAAAAGTGTACCCTCATAATTTTATATGGTGTCAGAAGTGTTTTGCTTTCAAAATGGAAAGTTTAAAACCACCAGAGCCGATGAAATTTGATGGAAATCTGGCTTCGAATTGGCAGAGATGGCTTTGCAATCATTTGAAATATATGAAGTAGTAGCTAGTGGATTACATAATAAAGAAGAGAAGGTAAGAGTTAATACTTTTCTTCATGTAATAGGAATTCGTGGTCTTGAAATATATAATACATTTCCTATAGAAGAGGGTAAAGAAATTAAATTAAGTGAAATTAAAAACAAAATTTACAGAATATTGTATTCCTAAGAAAAATATTACATATGAAAGACATTTATTCTTACTAGAAATCAAACCGCGTCAGAAACCATAGATGAATACGTAACTGATCTTCGAAATAAAGCTAGAACATGCGAGTTTGCACAATTAACGGATAGTTTAATAAAGGATAAAATTGTTTGTGGTATTATTAAGATGATATAGTGAGAGAGCAAGATTGTTACATGAAACAGAATTAACATTAGAAAAAGCTCTTGATATATGC